TATATATATATATATATCTTATCTTTCTCCCTCTAGTCTAAATTCTTTGAAGAACATATGAACGTGTACCATTTCTAAATGTAATATTCTCTGCATTGTCTTGAATTATTCTGTAAGTAGCGTTTCTTCTTCATTTGGGCTTTTTATTTTTTGTATAAAATTTATCTGGGATGTCTACCATTTTTTTTTTCTCTGAATTTTTCCGAATTCAGAATGTTTAGTTTTGCTGTTGCTTTAGTTATGGGAATGGGATCTTCTTTTCTTGTTTGAATGATTGTGCTGAGGCACCCTTCATAAATATACATTTAAGGTACTGTCTGGATGGATATTAATAGAAACAGTAAAGTTTAGGTCTTTTTTTGTTTATATTTCAATAAAATTAGTATAATGCATGTTTAAGATTGGCAATTACTAGTATATTTCTCTCTAAATTAGATTTCTTGATTACTTATTCAGGGTTTTGAAAAGGTTTCTCCTTTTGTTTGATTATTAATCTAAGAGTATTTTTTTTTCTGTTCTTAAATGTTAAATTCCTATTTTAGACTGAGAAAATCATATTTTGGAATCTTTTCATTTTATTTTGAGGTTTTGTAATATAAATATTTTGAATGTTTCATTTTTATTTGTTGCTTTATTGTTGATTTTAAGTTAACAAATTTAGTTTCGTTAAATTTTTATAAATGAAAAAGATGGATTGTTTGTTATGACTTAGGAGCTCAAATTCTGAAATTCGCCTCAGGCCCCGCGAATCACATGTGAGACCCTGCACATAAGCTTGAGGCCTAGAGATTCGGGACCGGAATGACCCACCCAACACGTGGCACAGACCTTCGTTTAATGTTGGTAAGAAGCAAAGTGTATGATGCTGACTTTAATCTCTCAATCCATATTTGGTATGCAATACTAAATACTAAATATGATTACTCAATGTTAAATGAAAAAATTGGAATTGGAATTTCATTCACTATATTGTCCGGTCTCATCAAAGATGAAAGAAGCTAAATTTCTAGAGTTCAACCATTTGTACACGAAAATGGTTGACATGAATTTTACCAACTCTCACAATGTGTAGGACCCATCAAAATAAAAAATAAGAAAAAAAAAAAACCCACTCCCTTGCATGTGTGAGTGTATGTCAACAAAATCACCCCACCCCCTATTATGAACCGTCTCCTGTACGAGTAGCATGATTGAAATTTCTATCTAGACTTCAGTAAAGTCTTGAGTTCCTTTAACTCACCTTAAGGGTAAATAGTTGAAGCTCTTATTATTAATTATCATTTAAATGCCGAGAAGTTTTATTCTTAAAAATCACAAACTTACTTTTTAATCGTTTTTAAAATTATTAAGTATATAGTCAAACGTACCCGTGTATTAGGTAGATCGAAAGTTCTCTTTAATATTTTATAATCTTGTTATTATATAATAAACCAGTTCAAATCATGCCGACGCCCTCCTTTTCCTTTGAATAATTACTACTTTTTATCCCTTTAATTACATGATAGTCAATTCTTTCCCCTACATTATAGCATTCGATTAATTGGGGTTTCCCACATAACTGGTCCCACATTTTTTAAGAAATCGGAGAAGTACAAAAGGAAATGCGTTTAGTACTAATCATTAGATTGTCGTATCATAAGCTGGATTTCCTTTTTGGTTAAAACTTTTCTTTCTTTGCCAAGTTTAATTTATTTTGCAAAAGTGATTTTTTTATTTAAAAAAAAAAAGTCAGAAAATGTCTTTTATCAGTTATAACTGTCTGAATTGGTAGCAAATTACGAGAAGTTCATTATTTTTATTGAAACGTAACTAGTTAATTTAGATGGAAAAAATATTTAAAATAATTTAGGAAAAAAGGTTCATGATCAAGGAGCTTAGATTAGCCATGTTGTGGACCAATTCAAGATAACTCTAGAGCCTTGTGGTTGGTGGTTTGTTGTTTTGACTCTCTGAGCAGCTAAACTTCCAAACAATATTACAACTTGAGATTTTGGGGAATTTATTAAAATTTCATTTGAAAACATAAGCTTAACATGCCATGAAAACTTTTATTATGAGAGTCTGAACCGATATGTAAAATTCTAGCTTGTCTGAAATCCGACTTCGACCACCCCTTTGCCACCCTAACTCTAACCTGCCTTATAGGCCATAACAATCAAGTGAACCTGACATGCCCTGATGAGATAATGGGCGATGCCAAACCATGAAAAATTTTAGTTCGTAGGAAACCAATTCGACCACTCGTTAAGCAAAAAATGACACCAAATTTATGGAATATTTCAAACACTATTTCCAGTAATAGCAAATTGACCAAGTGTCTAGAGAATTAATATAAGGGGAAAAAAAGGGCAATAAATTTGTAGCTTAATTTGTGTTGCATATTACAAGCCAAGAGGCTACATGACAAAAAATGGTATCACGTGTCATGACTTAGGGGGAGTATACCAAAGACAAAAACACAAATGAGCCAAACAAAGCATCATGAAGCCCGCAAAAATTAATTTCTACTAAGAGAGAGAGAGAGAGGTCCCCACTTGCATCTCAACCAAAGAGAATTAATGAAACTTTAATTCAGTCCCTCTCTGCTGTTGTGACCGATTATCCTCGACCGATTTTGAAATCCGTCGCTAATGCCCTTTTCTTGTGAAACAATGGCAATATCCCTGATTTTCTCTATGCTTGGTTGGGTCGATGACATAGAATTGATAATATTAAGGAAGAAAATTGAAGTTAAAATCTCGTACCAATAGACACATAAATAGGGTTAAAGTTCAAATAAGACATTGAAAAGGTCTAGAGTATTTGGAGAAGGAATATGGGATGAAACAAAAGTTGAAGGACTAGGCAATAAACTGCAGTCTAAATAATTCTTGTTACTGTGTAAAACCGGGCTGAAATCATGAAAGAACCCTAATGGATTGGGATCAGAGGGTGGAGAGAAAAAATTTGGTGGGATAGGTGGAAGAGAAGCCGGATTAGGCGATAAAATGCCCGGAAAATGGCCGGACGGCCTCTCAAACTCGGCGCTTATCTCCATTCCTTCAAACATATCCATGTCAAAATCTCGTTGCAATTTCCTCCCTTCAGGGGACTTGGTTTTCTCTATAGAAGCAAAACGTGCAGCTGGAGATATTGCATCACTATGAAGTTGAAAAGCCGAAGAGGACGACGATGAAGTGATCATGGACGAAGAAGAAGTCGAATCTCGGCCGGTTAAACGTTGTACTAATGACTTGAATTCATTAGGGTTTGCATGAATTATCTTGGGAGAGACTGTGTATATAATAACGGGTGGCCTTGGCGGCGCTTGAGGTTGAGAAGGTTGTGGTAGCAAGGGCGGTTTTCTAATCTTGTGTGAATCTTTACGAACTTTTAGAGGAGTCGGTCGAGGTCCTTGGAGCTCTCGTTTCGGTGATCGGCCAGCCGAGATGTCCATCAAGTCCATGGTGAAGATGAATGATCAATGGTCGCCAGAAGAGAAAAATGGATTGAGGGGGTGGTTTGATTATAGTGATGATGGTGATAAAATGGCGTTACCTTCCTAAAGACAAGTCATATGGTGACTATTTAACCAATGCTAGTCAATGAAATATTGGAATTAAATAAATCCAATAAATATTTAAAAAAAATTAAACGTGTATTTAATTATTGTGTATAAATATTTGATTCTTTGAGGCCTTTGGCCAATTAACGAAAGTTTGAACTTGTCAAAGTTTGAGGAAGGTATGAAAGGCTCCATATGCCATGTAAGATTATGAGATGATGATGTAAGTGTCCATGTAAGCATACAATTAAAGATTGTCCATTGGATATTTAGAAAATTCTTATTTTTATTTTGAATTAAACTTATTTATTAGTCAACTATAATTATTTTTATTATTATTAAGAGCCCGTTTGGTGCACATTAAAATGAAAGAATGCATTTTTTTGAAGTGATGTGATGGAAAATATGTAGTTAAAAAAGAAGGAAAATTTATTGATGTGATGAAAAATATTATTTTATTGAAGAATATGTGGTTGAAAATAAGTAGAAAAATGAGAATGAAAAAAATAATGTGGCCCAAACAGGGGCTAATTTATACATTGTGTGTGTACGGACTAGAAATACAGTTTAGATACAACTTCAAAACTTTAAATGGAAGTTGCATTTAGAAACAAAGCATTTCTCATGAGCGGCACAAGAATATTATGAAATTTTAACTTATAAGTTTGGACAACATTAATTGCACGGCGACAACAAACAATGTTTTAACGTTTTTTGTGTTTCTTAATTTTATTCATACATAGAATTGTAAAACGGTTGAACTTGCATGCACTGACACGGTGAAAATAGGGACCCGACATAGCCAAAAAAAAGACCGAACGTCACAATCCAACTATTTTTTTAATATATTTAGTTCATAGACTAGAGAAAACATAAATAAAAGAAACACAAGTCGGGCAACCTTTAGGTCTGAAGAGCCAATCCAACACTTGAGCCGGCTGGCAGTGATAAATCACTTGTTCGTCAATGATCGATGACCGAGTTAAATGTCGTGATCATTGTCAATATCGTCAATAATTATTGATGGAAGTGCTAAAATTAATAATCAATGGTGGCTTTCACCAACTCCAAAAATGGTCTCTAAATTTTTCACTAATGGAAATATTGGCTTTAGTAATATAATTTTTTTTTTCAAGTAATGGAGCGTTCCATTATTATTATTATTATATGAAAGACTCCCTAAAATATTATGGTTAAAGCTTGTTAATTATTTGATGTGCTTCTATCTAACTCGACTCATGATACGACTCGGCCTAGAAAAATGAGGATTAAATCACGTTAATTCTAGATAGTTGAAACTACAAGAACCCTCGAATCTCAAACTTATTACCGCATAACAATCATGTCGTAATAAATTCGGATTGGCATTTCGGACCATTGAACATGTTTTGTAATTCTGTAATCTTTTTATTCTTCGTTTATTAAATATTATCATATATTCTGTCTAACAATTTTTTATATATTTAAATATAGTATGCTTCTTCTGTTTTGCTAGTGGTACATGCACGCCAACTATTGTAAATTAGATAGTAATCTTTATTAGAAATGATATTGGGCCTAATTCAACTTAACAAAATCGATTTGTTAGGGGAGGATTGCCATCACTTTATTAAATGAATTTTGTAAATATCACCAGTTAATGTGAGATTCTAATAATTTTAGACTTAATGAGTAATATTGACAAGAAAATTTAATTTCTTTTTATCGTTTATAATATAATAACCCTTTAAATCCCATCTATGCTATAAATTAAGTTAAATAATTTCTTTATTTTTATTTTTTTAATTTAGTCATTGAACTTTCGTATTTATTTCATTTTAAGCACTAGTCTAATTTTGTCTATGGAATTAAGTTGATTAACAAAAATACACTGGCATAATCCTTGTTTTTATTATCCAACTGGATATAAATATTTTAAGATTTTTATTTTTAGAAACAAATCTTATTTTTCTTTTAATTTTTAATTCTTTTAAAACTAGCATTTCAAAAGTTATTTAATCAAGACACGTTTTTGACCAACAGGAGAAGGTGTTGAATATCAAAAGTTTGTATTTTTGTTAATTAGCAGACTACCATAAATATAATGCCAAAGTAAAATTGAAAAAAAAAAAAATGAAAGTTGTGTTTAGTTTAAAAGAAAGTTCAAATATGAATACAAGTTTCCCAACCGTTAATAAATTATGGAATTAACGGCATACGAATGGGACAATGATTTGGATTGAGGTATCCAGCCAGCCTCACGACTTGACCCAAATCCTGACCTGTTCTCGAATCTCTGTCAACCCAAATAGAAGGACGAAATAGCAGTAAAGCCTAATAAAGCAATACATGTTGAAAAGTATTATTTGAAATTGTTGAATTATGTAGACCAAGTCATGAGTAGAGGTTCGAAATGGGCATTGATATATCATCTATCTCCGAGACTCGATCTATGGAGAGGTGATTCTATCACACACATGTTATGTACGAAATTAATTATTATTCAATGTCATACTAGCCACTGAAGAGTCATATTACGTGCTTATGTGTCATGAAATGAATATTTATACCTCTATGGACGACTCGTGTTCAACCTATTCATGCTCGGGCTGCTCGGCCTCTCATTGAATTGTCCTGCAAAGAATTATTTGTTGCGGTGGATGATAAGCTCAAATGACGGGAGGACTTCTAGCACTTCGAAGATACGGTTGACAGCCTCTGCTTCGTCTACGATTAGGTTATGCTTCTTGTGGGCCCTTGCATAAAAAAATTAATGAATGCAATCCCATGTCGGACAATGTATTGGTGATAAAATTCAAAGAAGCAAATCTATCACATCTCTAATACGGTAAAATCTCTTATAGTCATAATGTTGGGCCCAAACAAATACTTGAGGAGATTATAACTTGATATAGGTGTAGTTACACAAATTATTGTTTTTGACTTAGTTATCCCTAGTGCAAGTGGTATATAAGAAAATTATGAACTACATTAATAATTAATTAAGATCATGTCAAATCCAAGTTATAGACATTGATAAAATAGATTGACATAATTTCAAAAAAATACTTCATTTACCTATGTAGTTTTGACATTTGACATGACTATTGAAAAACCAAATGAGCTTTTTAAGTCACAAAAGCTATCTCTGAATTCGCTTGACTAATTTTAAGAGATAGTTAGAATAGTTTTTAGAGAAAGTTGGTTCAATATGACTTTCTGTAAAAGCACTTTCGAAATAGAAAATTCTTTTAAAAATTAGTTTTCAAATGATAATTAAGATAGTTTCTTTAAAAACTGTTCTACAGAGCAAAAACTATGCCAAGCGAATCCAAAGTTATCTTAACCTTTTAACGTAACATAACATTTATTTTTTGTCCCAGATAACTTTAGATAAATAATGTATTTCATCTAAACATTTATGGTTTGTTTGAGCCACATTAATTTGGAAGAATGTATTTTGGAATAATAGATTGATGAAAAATGTGTGGTTGAAAAAGAAAGAAAAATTATTGATGTGATGAAAAATATTATTTTATTGAAAAATGTGTGGTTGAAAATGAGTAGAAGAATGTGATTAAAAATTTTAATATGGCTCAAACATGGGTTTAATGTAATGTAGCATTTATTTATTTATTTGCAATATATAGATAATCAGTGACGAACCCAAGGTTAAAGTTCAACTAGGGCGGAAGGACATTTATTGTTGACCGTCGACAATTAACGATCATAATAACGATGTCGTTTATTAATATTTAACTAAACCTTAAAATCCCACTCCACAACTGCACAAATAATTTGAAATCACATAGCGATGGCATACCATTTCATAATGCATTCTTCAGTTACAAATGCAGAGTTAAATAATGCATTCTGACTTCTGAGAATAATATGCCGTCTGCATTTATTCATTAAAACATGAAAAAAAAATCAGATCGAGACAAGGAAAATAATTTTTACGGCAAACACAACATATCAAAACAGAGCACAGATTCCAAATTTTCAAAACCAACAAAAAAAATCTATAAAAGAACAATGAAGGAGACTCACCGTTCAGTGTCCACTGATGTCTGCAACTCATGTGTCGAGAGGTCCATCCGTCCCACGTCCGTCCTAGTAACCGAGTTCCTTTTATGGCTTTCTGCGATTTTGCCCACATCCCCTTTATTTTGCTTTAAGCTCACAGCCCTTTCCATTGGAATAATTCATATGGATAAATTGATAATGGTAATGGATCAATTGGATTTGGATTAGGCTGGTTATTTTTTAAAAAACACTCCACAACATTTTAACCCCAAACTTAAAAAAAAAAAAAAAAAAAAAGAACCAGAAAAAGTTGGGGTCGTCTTTTTCGTTCTTCCTCTTCCAGTCTTCCTTCTACTGACCAATGACCACTGTTCCGATGGAGCCCAGCACGTGCGACTGCACCCCCTCGCCGGGTGTTGGGTCGATCGCTGTCGATAACTATCACTAAGTGGAGGTGAATTCCTTGACATGATACCAAAAAAAATTATAATTTATTATTACATGGAGTTTATTTTTATTTATAATTTGGCCAAGTCAAGACCAAATTTTTTATGATTACATGTAGGTTACTCCTGTATAGAGTATCACTACAAAAATGTCTTACTGTAATTTAAACTATTGGACAAGACAACTTAACACCTCTAAAAAATTGACAATGTGCATAATATATTAATATTCCTTACATATTTGAATTGCTAATTAATTAAGTAACATAATTATCATAATATTAGCATATAAATTTGATTAAATAAAAGCTTGACATCAAATCATCAATAGGCATGATACAATCTGTGAAGTTGTATTCTTGGTTACATCTTATTCCAATTCTTAAAAATGTTTCCTCGTATTAATATTATTATTTTTCTGAGAACAGTAGTATTGACAAACTTATCTTC